AAAGGTCAGAGCGATTTGCTCAGTGTTGCTTAAAAATCAGCTGGGCAAAGTTGGGACTAGACTGTGAGCAGCTGACCCTCCACCCCTTGCTTGTTCCTCCAGTCCAAACATTTTTCTAGGTGGGGGAACCTGCCTAAACCCACCAGTGGTCACTTAATAGCTGCCAGAGGCGTAATTCAGGCTTGAACTAGTGACCTCATCCCTTCCTCTCACGTCTGTGGAGGGACAGACTGATGACATTGACTGTTTACATTTTGGTCTCTGAGCCAGCCCAGCTCTTTCTCCTGGGGCCCAGCAGGGATGGAAGGGTCCTAAAGATGCAAAACCAGTGCTGCTCCCCGACACCGCTTTCCTGGCTTGGGGCTTTTTTTGTAAGTCAGTAGGAAAGAGCAACTTGTGCAAACCTCTTTTGAGGTAGAGTTCTCCCCGCCTGTCTGTATCACCTGCCGGCAGGGCCCCAGGGGAAGAATAACGCCCGCGCCGTTCGTACTGGGCACCGGCGCGCGCGGGCTCTCGCTTTGTCTCGCCAAACAAACACACGAGGAGTCGCGGTGGCAGCTTTGAAAGTTGTATCTGTTATCACCGACAAACTGATCTGGCTTCTGGCCGGGGTCACGGATGCTGTCGGGATCAGACGAGAAGAGCCGGGTTTGGCCGGAGCCCCAGCAGGCTGGAGAGGAGCCCCCGGGGTCCGGGGAGGCTGTGGCCGAGGAGGGGAGCCCGTTGTGTGGGGCGCCGGCCCCAGCCCAGAGAGCCGGCGTCCATACAGGAGTGCGTTTTATTCGTCTCTTTTTCTCCTTCAATTCTAAGCTGGCATGGGGGGGAGGTGAAGCTGAAGGGACCCTTGAAAAGGCCGGGTCACTGATGGAAAGGAGAAAGAGCTTGGCAGATGGCAAAGAGCTTTCATGAGCAGCATGAGCTGCGGCCGGCTCCAGGGAACGGAATTGTTCCTCTGCTCAGGCTGTGTGTCTGTCTCTCTGATTATTTTGTGTATTTCATCTCTGCTGTCTGCCTCACCCTTAATCTGGGCTCCTCTGTGCCAGCAAAATGCTTAGCTCACTCCATTGTCTGAGAGACTAATTTGCACTGTAAATCTGATGCTTATCTTACATGACAGCTTACTGTGGGGTTTATTGCAGTCCTGAAGACAGACTAACTGGGGATGGCTAGAAAGCTTTCGGCACATCATCTGGAGTGTAGAACAAATACGATATATTTCAGCTTGCTGCCAGGTTAGGAGGTGGCCCCTTGTGGTGGGGGTCACAAGGGATTTCTCCTTCTCTTTTCAGATCTATTCCAACCTGAGTTTGTTTGGTTTTTGTTTTTTTTTTTTTTTTTTATGGTACAGCTTCTGTCCTGTGGTGGAGCTGTTTGGAAGGTTTCTGGATCAACCTCCCACCCACCTGGGACCAGGTCCTCCCCCCCCTTCTGCCTGCTTCTTGTCCTGTTTTAAGGACCATGCGAGTGGCTGCAGACCAGGTGCAGGCGGTGTGTGAGCACTGGTGCTCCGGTGTGCTGCAGCTTCATTGTCTCTGCCTAGCTTAATCAGAAAGAACCTTTGTCCTTGTCTTTCTTCATTAGTATTTCCTGACACTTTCTCCAATATGTTGTAGCTCTTTGCTGGCAGAGTAACATCCCCCCTCAATCTCGTCTGAAGTTGCCTCCTCCTCTCTGGTCCCCGGGCTGTCTACCTACAGACATTCACATATCATCTAAGAGATTTTCACACTAGTGTTGTTCAGGTAGCTGGGCAGCTCCAGAGCCCTAAATCCTCCCACCGAGGGGTGCCAGGTAGCCTCAGACACAGGTTTACCTGGGGAGAGCCAGGAAGATTATTGCTGCTTTGATACAGCTCTTGGTTCTGCAGCTGAGCACGCCAGTGGGCGTTTAATGCCCAGAGCTTCTGCATTGCAGTCCTCTGGGATGCAAAGGATCCTGCTTCCCCGGACAGGGGAGCAGGAACACAAGGCCTGCCATCCTTGGAGGATGGTGTTCATTTGGAGGACCAGTTTGATTTTCACTGAGTAGCGTCCTGCTTTGCAGTTACATGGATTTCTGGACCCCTCTGTTCTTCCCGCCCTCGGTCTGAAGACAAAACACAAAAATGGCTGTACTGGATAAGCTGTGTGCAGCAGTTATTGGGCTGGCAGCTGAACTGGAAATGGAGCCAAGGAGTCTCAGCAGTGTTGAGGGAGAGGAGTGTAAAAAACACTTAGAGAAATTGTTGGGGAATAGGCAAGCAATATTTTGTATACTGGGTAGAGCTGTAGCTGCTACACCAGAAATTCTGTACTGGCCCCTCTGAAGCTCTATTTTGCTGCCCAGAGTATCAGACAGATGTGTAACCTAAGGCTTATTCCAAGTCGTGAGAGCTGGTGAACACCAGACTCCTCACAGATGCTGTGCTGAGACCTGCCCAAAGGATAGCTCTGTACAGCCTGGGAGAAGCTCAAGGGAAAACATGCAACTCCGAGAAGACTCCAAAATCTGCAGAATTTTAGAAGAATCCGGGACAAAAATACCTAGGAAAGGATCATCACACCATCTAACTCAGGCTCACGCTCGGACTAGGTGAGGTTACTGTATGTAGCCTCCTCTGAAGAAGCCCCCTTCTCTCCCCTGGCTAGAAATGGAGTCATAGGAATCGAATCACCTTCTTTAAACTTCTGTGTTAAGTGCCTGAAAGTTAGCAATTTGATTCTGAAAATCTGTTTCCTAAGAGGCCTGGGGAATCCCCCTTTCCCACAAATAACAGGGTACAACCTGAGAGCCCCCGGTGTGAGTAGCTGGCCTCCCGTCTGCCCCAGTAGCACAGGCAGCAGCTCTGATCCAGTTGGCAAGGTCAGGTTGTCCCTTCGGCCACGCGCATCCAGCACCCCGGGGCAGCTGGTGCTTCCAAGGATAAGATCTGTGCCCTGCTGCCACTGCTGAGTGTTTTCTGTCAGACTTCTGGTTGGTTTGTTTAAAAAAAAAAAAAAAAAAAAACAAAAAACCCAAACTTGTTTTCCAGCAGCACTTAGAGACCCCACTGTGTTGCATGACATGTGGACAACAGGCAGACCGTCTCTGCTCCGAAGGATTCACAGGATAGCTTGGCAGAAGTACACTGAATAGCAGATGTGGTAAAGACACTGCGTGAGACAAGTTAGTAACGGTGAGAGGAAGATGTTTGCTTGCACTGACTGGGTCTGACATCTCCATCAACCGGGGTGTGCAGCGTGCGGAGGCCCCGCAACTCGATGAGCGATTGGGGCCAGCCTCCCGGCGCTCCCAAGGTCTTTGCTTGCTGGCAAAGGAAATCCGCTGCCTGCATCGGCCTCGGCTCTCATCTGCGTGGAAATGGAAGTGGCAAGAGGTATCAAAGGGGAGCTTCCAGGTGGAGTTTTCAGCTGCCTGGATTATTAACAGTCAAGGAAAGAAGCTGCTGCCAGGGTGGATAAACAAGGGGGCTTTCTTCTCGGGGAGCTTTAGAGAAGGGGGGTGGGGGGAGCTGAGAGTGCGGTGGAAGGGCTGGGATCTCAGGAGAGCAAGTGCATTCAGCCAGCTTGTCCGTCTGCCAATATCAAGCTTGTCCGTCTGCTTGGGTTAGCACACCGCCCGGGCGGGCGGCTGAGCTGGGGTGCCGCCGCCACGGTGTCTCCCTCTTTGGTCCTGGGGACAGATGCCAGGCCTGTCCCCGCGCCCGCGCCGGGGGGACGGGTGCGTGCAGGGCTGTGAAGTGCAGATGGTGCAGCCTCTGCAGTGCTCTGCTCCGGGGCGGTGGCTGGTGCTGACACGGCCCCTGTCCTGGGCTCTCCGCAGAGGCATGACCGCACCACGTTTTTCAGAAAGCCGTTTCCATCCCTGTTCATCTCCAGACCCTCGCAGGAAACGGGGTACGCGTTTAACAGGGTGCTGAAACCCGCCTGCTGCATCAGCACCGTGCAACCTCTCTTCTGAGTCAGTAACGGGCTGGAAGGGCTGCTGCTGCTCCAGGGATCCTGTATGCCCAGCTGGCGCTTGCTTTTTTTCCTGCCAGGATTGCTTTATTGTATTTTTGCAATTATTAGGATCTCATCTCGTGTACGGAACTGGCAGTGAATCAGAAGTCAGAGTACCCAAAATATCTCACCCCACGAAAAGAGCAGCTCCTCCTTTGCTGCCTGCGCGCAGCGTTGTTAGCTGGCGCAAAGGGAGAGGAGTGTGTGGAGGCCGGCGGGAGAGCTGTCAGGTTTGAATCCCGTGAGTAGCAGCTCGGAGTCAAGCCTCTCCCGAGAAGTGGCGAGCTGCAAACGTTATGTGTGCAGCGTTGTGGGCAGGTGCGATGGCAGCTTGGGTGGGTGTATCATGCTGGCCTCCATCCAGTTGGCACAGGTAAACCAGCAGTGACGTAGTGTAGCAGCTTAAGCACTGTCTTTACACTATTAAATACGGAGCTGAGATCTCCGCAGGGCTTGTACAACCTGAGGTGACGTTTGTGTCGCCGTATCTTTACTGCAGTTTGCTATCTGTGCTAGCTCAATTACAGTTCTCGCAGATAGGTCTGTGCTGTGCCTCAGTCCTGCATCTGACATTAGCGCAGACCTGCCTCCAAATAGATGCTTCTGAGGACCTGCAGGCCACACAGACGTCAGCTGTTGCTGGCTGCAGTTTGTGCCTCCTATGCTGGCGTTAGTCTTTGTGATTTACTGGCATCAGCCGACACACCAGAGAGGGGACTTACATCTCCCGTTAGTGGGATTTGCTTTGCACCACAGCTCTGAGGCTTGGAAGTTTGGGGGCTGCAACTGAGCCACCTTCTTCCCTTCTCTGCCACGTGGGCAATTCTGCTCCGGCTCCTTACCCTCCCAAAGCCCTCTCCTGCCATGCTGCGGGCCTGGGATCTCCCTGGTTCCTCCTTCGGGCACCGGGAGGCCTGGGGCTGCAGGGCACTAGGCATACGGGAGCGTACGCCGTGGTGGACAAGGAGGAGGTCTTCGGCGTGGGCGCTTCTGACTTTCCTTTTCTCTCTTTCCCCGCAGATGCCAGCAAGGACCATCCGCAGCCGCAGGCAGGGGTGATCTGGAGAGTGACGGGCGGCCTGTTCAGCATCACCCGGGGAGCCGTGGGGGCCACGCTGGGAGGAGTCGCCTGGGTGGGCAGCAAGAGCCTGGAGCTCACCAAAACAGCTGTGACCAGCGTCCCCGCTGCTGGCGTCGGACTGGTGAAGGGCAGCGTCTCGGCAGTGACGGGCGGCGTCGGAGCCGTGGGCAGCGCGGTCGCCAGCAAAGTCCCTTTCACCGCGAAGAAGAAAGACAAGGCTGACTAATCCCCGTCACAGCGCCCTTCCAAAAGATCGACCTGCCCGTACTCTCCCCCGACACAGCACCTCTTTGAGTTGGAACCAGCCGCTTCAGGGAGGGTCAAGCACCCCACAGACTCCGGCTGCAGCCTGCTCAGCACCGCCGGCCCGGCTCGGAGCTCACAGAGCCGCTGTCTATGCCTTTCACTCCCATCACCTGCTGGGAACCACCTTTACTCCGAGGGCTTTAAAGGCGCCGTTGTCTCTGTCTTGCAGTTTCCTTCCTTCCTTCTTGTTCTTGCAAGCCCAGAGGGGTGGGACAGGGTGTCAGGCTCCATCTGCCTGAAGGTGGGGTGAGTAACAGGGGAGGGGGAGGAACTATGCCTGGCTTGAAGTGTGGGTTGTGTAGTCAAATTCAACTTCAGCTGGGAAGGCAGCCTCCGAAACACCCCTTCCCTTGGCTCTGGGAGGTGTGTTTGGGGGGTCTGCCTGGCGGAGAACCGTAGAAGAGAGTCCCACTGACACAAAGGAGAGATACTGTGAAGAGGGGGAAGCCTCCCTCCTGCCCTGCACCTCTTACCTTTTCTTTGCAGGGCCCATCCCACAAGCTGCTCCCCGTCACTTACTCCCTGACTGAATTGCACCCTTCAGAGAAGAAACCCTCAAGCTCAGCGGAGCAGCTTCAGGGATGATGCCACACAAGGGTATGATATGTCTTGGGCCGTCAGCTCCTGCACAGATTTTCTTGGTGGGAGGCAGGAGGATGAAAGCTGCCATATGTTCCCATGTGGGGATGGAGCTGACAGTGGCATCTGCCAGGCCTCTGTGATACTGCAGCCCAGGTAGGGATGCTCCACAGAGATTGCCCCTTGGAAGTCCGTGCAGTATCCCTGTCTGCAACAGGGGCGTTTTGACTCTAGGCCACGCTCTCATTCCACAGACGTCACTAGTAACCCCGAGCGAGTGTGTTCCCAAATTCCACCCGAGTTCTGCTGCAGGGAGGGAGGGGAGTCCGGGAGCATTGCTCTCCCCGTGGCTCGGCACCCCGGGAGCGGTGGCCTGGGTGTGAGTGGGCTGCGCCGCGCTGGAGAACGCTGCCCCGAGGGGCTGAGCGCGCTCCAGCAGCAACCAGCCTGCACGGGGCACCAGCACCTCCTCCTCCTCCTCCACGTGCTGCTCCGGGAGCTCCAGCCCGGCTCCTCTAAATGACGGTGTTGCACTAAATAGCCCACCCACACTCGTAGCGCCGCAGAAACCCAGACACCTGCATCCACCTGGGAGTCACAGCCGTCCTCAGCCAGGCCCGCGATGCTCAAGGGGCCGTGTGGCGTCGCGCACGCGCTTGTACACGCATGTGCGCACATGTACACGCACCCACACTCACTCGCTCCAGGGTCCCCTGTAATTCTCAGGATGAGGAAAGCCACAGGCTCCCCCATTAACTCTGCTGCTCCTGGCTTTCGGCAGGTGATTAGCCTAGGTCGTTAGGTGTCGGATGCATAGGCAAGTGAAGCAGTGCTTGTGCTGTATTTTATAAATATGCATCTGTGTTAGCGTGTGTGTATGTATCAGTCCACAGGCATGCCTTCAGCCAGGTAAACAAAGCTGTGCCACTGACGCAGAGGAGCTTACATAGTCACCTTCAGCACTTCCAGCATGTAGTTTTTCTATAGGGTCCTGGTCAAAATAAAAATCATGTTTTAGAGGATGTTTTCCCCTCTGTTGCCCAAGAGTGTAGTTTATTGAAACCAAAGGAATGTGAAAAATCCCCTTTCTCCCATCTATGCGGTTTGTTTACTTTCTGCCCTATCTTTTGGACATTGAAGCCAACTCCCTCGATCTTCATTTCCCATTGGAGGTCATTGCGCTTCCTGGCTGCTCTCTTGTACTTTGGACTCAGACATCAGGGAATATTTAAGTACACCCCCACCACCACCCCCGTTTTTGCTGAATGTTCTTGGGCTTGTGAAGCAGTTTTCACTCTGACCCTTATTAAATCCACATTTTGGGCCTGACGTAAGTCTCTGTGTCCCTGTGCTAGTCACGCTGGTGTTAGTCTCTCTCCATACCCTTCTCCCCACCCTTCTCTGGGTAGTCCTGGCTGTTTGTAGTGGCAAGAAGTTGCTGATCTCCATAGTGTGTTACTCTTGATAGCGTGAGAGTGGTTTAACCTACATCTTTTTTTCTGAAGAAGAAACAGCATTTGATATGTGTGTGCATTTCCTCGCTTCGTCTCTTTTGTTCTGGTGAAGGCCAAGTTGACCCAGATGTGTTGGGTTTGTCTCGGAAGGCAGCGGCTTCACAGAGAGACTGGGCCTTGATCTGTGCCTGCACTTTGCTGCGATGCTTGTGGCAGTTGGCAAGGCCAGAAGAAGTCTTGTCTGTTCTTCCTTTATCTCAGCCGCCCTGCAAAGCAGGAGGACACTTGGCATTGCATGGATCTCGGCTCACTGCTCTCCCTGAGCGCATTTCATTTCTTATTCCAGATCACAGACTGCTCCTGAAGCCAACTCTAACTCCAAAGCTAAAAGCTGCTGGTGCGTAACTGGCTGTGCTGTCACCAGCCCTCATACAAAGACAGTTTCTTACCAACTGGGACGGAAGAGAGTCTTCATAACGGCCTCTCCCAGGCCTTGGACAGGAGAAGATGGTACCTAAGGGGCTTTACTTCACCAGCCGCCCCTGGGCAGGTGCTGGGAAGCTCATCATGCGTCTGGCTAACCAGTATCCCACACAGGCTCTTGCTGGGGGAGGCAATACATCCTTCCCAGGCTGTTACCTGCAGGCACTGTGTGTGCAGAGCAGGCCTGGAAAATGGGATAAAGGTGCATTAAAGAAGGCCGTAGGGGTCCTGAGGGTTTCCCGTTTCTTTATTTCTGCTGTTGTGTGCGTGCTTGCAGTAAACAGAGTAAAGCTCTCCATTTGCCTGGAACTGCCATTTCCTTGCGGGATGGCCTGGAGAAGGGGAAAAGAGATGTGAGGGGAACTCACAGCCTAAATCACTGTTCTTACAGCCCAGCTAACGGAGAACTCCTGGGCCATAAATTGCAAAAGCAATCAAATTAGCAGGCAGGGGTAGAAGATTAAATCTACTCCAAAACCAAGGCCTCACACCACTTCGCAGGCATTCAGGAATACGTAACTGCAGGACTCGAAGGCCTCTGGAAAGTATGTCTCTGCTAGCATGCTAGGCCTGCTCGGTTCATCCAGGTGACCCAGCCCCAGGCTGCTTTTCTGGGCACTCTCAGTGCCAGAGCAGAAGGAAAACAGGGTCAGTGTTCCCAGCCTAAGAGCAGAGACACCTCCCGACAGCTTTGGTTGCAGGATGGTAAGATCTGGATCGGATGGGGAAGCTGTTGACTCCTGATGGATGCCCCATCTTTCCTCCTCCCCCCACTACAGAGACTCCAGGCAGTTCAGAGTCCACCTGGGTCACTGGTGCAGCCCTTCTCCCACCACCTCTTCACAGCAAAAGCAACATTGTGCGTGAATCCCTTGGCTGCTAGCTGGAGGGACTTGGTACAAAACAGAGGGAGCAGCACCGAGGTGGAGGAAAGGATTGAAGGGAGTTAGTACAAGGAAGATCACCAATTTTCAAGTGATAGTGAGGGGATGAGGAGAGACTGGTGACCGGCGGAGGTGAGGAGTGGGGGAGTGTGGAGGGAATTTGTGAGGATCTGAATCAGAGGATGAACACGGTGGAGTTTGTCCTAGGGAAGAGCACAGAAAGGGAACTGGACGGATGTGGGTTTTGGTGTGTGGTGATGGTCCACGCCTGGCTGGTGCCCTGCTCCCATAGGAGTGATGATTGCCACGGGCTTCCATTTAGATGATCAATGTGCCCAACAGATGGTCCAAGCGCCAGATCAGCTCCCTCATTGCCACCCCCCCTGCTTCCCAGATCTCCCCCAGGCTTTTGTCATGATCTCCCCGTGGTGGGGCTGGGTCTCCCCCGTGGGGGAGATGGGATGGGGCCTTACACACAGCCCTGTACCCCACCACGACTGGACGTTCCCCGTGCCCCAGCTAAGAGTAGAGCCCACAGGCACATCCTCTCCTCGCTTTTCCCTTTGCTCATCACATTAGCCTTCACTTTAGTTTTTTTATCCCTCCCTTAGCTTTCTCTCTTGCCCCTGGATAAACCTCTCCAAAGGTCTCACCGAGACCTTCGATAAACATCCACACTCATATTGGCTGGGAGGGCAGAGAGGGCGACTCTGCCCCCGCAGCTCCCCTGGCTGGGAGAGAAGTGCATGTCTTCCACCCCTCTCTGTCCCCTTGTTGTGTGTGTGTGTGTGTGTGTGTGTGTGTGTAGAACCTTAACCCACTTCTTTTCCTCTGGGTTCCCTCGTTGGCTCTTCTCCCTGTGGGTGGGTCATTTCGGTGTCTCCGTTGCAAAGTCATCCATGTAAAAACAACAGCGCGAGTGGGACCGCGGAGATGGCTAGGGAGAGCCGCAGAGCTGCTGGGAGAGATGCCAGGGCCCAACTCTGCTTCTCTAGGAGCCGAGCAGCCCTTTGGCAACTCAAAACCATCGCTGCAGCCACGCAGCCCCATGCACGGTGCTGGGCTCCGGAGAACACTTCTGTTCTTTATCATTTCATTGTCTGTAATTGGTTTCCTACTGAATTTGTTTGCTTGGTTTGTTTTGCAGTGTGTTTCTGGGAATATTCTGCATCTCTGTATTTTAATTACAGTAAAATTTGAGGATAAAAACCTTGGTTACGCTGGCTCTTGTTTCCAGTGGGGGGAAACGAGGAGAGGAAGTGCAGTTGAAGGAAGATGTTAGAGATTCCTTGGGAAATCAAATCTCTCCCCTAAGGGCTCTACATGAGGCACCAAGCAGGGCTGAACCTCCATCCCTGCTTAAACTAGGACATGGCTTTCAACTGTGGTTCAAAAGCCATTTTGCTGCAGGCACGTTTCCTGATTGGAATGGTAAGGGCAGTTTGGATAAGACTTCTAAACTCAATTTCTTGTGTTAGTTTAAAGACCGGTGCACGAGAGGATTTTCGGGCTGGGGACAGCTGGCCTAGCCCCGAAAGCAGCCAAAAACAGGAAATTTTGCCCCTGCAGCCGCTGTTCCTTTATGCAGATTGGAGCAGCCACTTTTCCCAGCTGAGGGAGCAAGGAATAGCCTTGTTCCCCCTGCAGCACCCTGCCCTTTCTGCCGGAGAAGGTGGTTTGACATCCCCCCCCGGAGCCTCCGGGGAGCCCCACGGGGCAGCCAGACCCTCTGCATTTGCTCGCTGGCAGCGTGGGTGCTGGGAGGGGGGGTCACCGCCGGCCATCCTGACCACCTCACCCCCCCCCGGGGCATTTATCCAGGGCAGAGCCTCTCGATGCTCCCAGGGCCGTGCAGCCCTCACGCAGGGAGGATTGCAGCCCAGCGACCGGGCGGTGCGGGATTGGGCCCCAGACAGGGTGTCCCAGTAAAGGGTCGAGGCCAGGAGCCAACAGCTCAGCGTTATTTAAGTGCTGAAAAAAAGGATTAATTTCGTACCTAATAGCAGGGCAATCAAGCCATTTATCTGGTTGACGTTTCGCTGCCAGCTGCTCGGCAAGAGCGGCACGGCAGCGCGCCGGCGGGGCTGGTGGCAGGGTTTGGGGGTGGCAGGGACGTGAAGGTGCCTGGGGCCCCCCCACACCCGCTGTGTGTGGGGTGGCCCACCCCTCCCGCTGTCACCCCGTTCCTCCTCGCAGGGCTGGAGCCGGTCGCGTTGCCTTGCGGAGGGGCCAGGGGGGGAGCATCAGCCCTGCTCACCTTCCCTGCAGCCCAGCTGGGACAGGTTTGCCCTGTTCCACCAGGTTGCCAACCTCCCGCTAACAAGCTGCCCCTCCAGAGGTCTTTAAAGGGGGAAAAGGATGCTGGAAAACCACCTGTAGTTACAGCTTTCCCCGCCCCCCGGCCTCTCCCAGGCAGCAGGTCCCGGTTGGACTTGCAGCACCCAATCTCACCATCTCCCACGTAAGAGCTCAGGCTGGCAGCAGACCTGAGAAAAGACCTTTGGAGAGGAGACCTGCCCAGGTAGGGGGGCTGGGGGTGGCCCGAACACCCCTCTGCCAGGAGCGAGCCCAACGCTGGGGGGGGTGGATGTGACCAGCTGTGCTCACATCTCTCTGTGGGTCCCTGTCCTGCCCCGGCTCCCACTGGGGACTGGTCCCGGCGGCTTCCCACCCGCAGCGGCCCGCGCTCGGCGGGACGTGGCTGGAGGGCTCTGTCCTGGTCAGGTCGGAGGAGCTGGTCGGCTGTCCCGGCAGGCAGGGATCAAACGGGCCGGCCCCGCAGCCCTTGGAGGAAAACCCACGCGTTGCCAGGACCGTCGTCTTGTTTGCTCCTTTTCATTCTGGCAGTTCTACGACCTGAACTCGAGCGCTTTTTCGCTGGTTCTCCAGGGTAGGGCACGCTGGCATCAACAACATCAAGGTTGGGGGGGGGGGGCGGTATGTGCAATGAGGGGCAGCCTGATGGGACCCTGTGAGCACTCCGGGCAAGTCCCGTGCCCCCACTCAGGCCAACAAGCCCTCGGGTCTGTAAATCACCACAGGATCTCGCTTTTGGCTTAACTACTTGCATTTTGACACACTTCAGATGCCTGAGGAGGTGACCGCGGTGCCCTGCCGCCCCGGGGGGGGCTGTGGGGGCTGCGGGGACTGCTCCCCCCCCCAGCCTTGCCCCGACTCGCTCCCAGCCTCGGAGCGGGGCAGACCTGGAGATGCAGCTCTCTGCCTGTCGGTGCAGCCACCCCAGCTTAGTCATTGAGGTCTTTCAGTTGAAGCTCACCCCCAGGTCAGTTTTATTGCACTTTTATTTACAGAAAACACAGAAATAAAGCATCAAATGTGTTGGGCTTTTACCAAACCACCCAATCACTATTTTTCCTTTTTTTTTTTTTTTTTTTTTATCTCTTTTGTGGGTTTTTGGCACAAAGAAATAGCACAGGTGTTACCAAACAACCATGTATGAGCAGCCGGCCAACTGCCCAGCCCAATAACAGGACTTAAACAGACAGACATGTCGCATCGAGATCAAAAACGAGGAGGTTGTTCCACGTTCAGCTTCCAGTCTAACCTGCTCATTGGGGGCAAGGGGAGTTACTCTGGAGGGGATGACACCATTCATAAATTATATTTATATTTACCTCTTACATTGTAAAAGTAAACAGTGCAAAAGTACAGTACCCCAGGTACCCTTCTGTTTGGAAAGCTTGAAGGTTGTTTTATACATTTTGTGTGTTTTGTAAACATTGTTATCCATCCACAGTTCTAGCTCTTGCTTGGAGAGACCCGACTCCTCTTGTGTCCGAAACGTACTGAGGGGCAGCAGTCGCTTCCCTTGGACTCCGCTGTTGAGATTCCCGCTCAAGGTTTAGTGCAAATTTTGGAGAGAAAAAGACGAGAGAGAGAGAGAGAGAAGAGGAGGGGAAACAAAAACCAAAAGAAAATAAAATAAGGCAACAGTTAGAAACAGTCCGTATCAAAACCGGGCCGCCCCGGGGCTGCCTTAGGAGAAGGGCAGGAAGTCTCTCTCCTCTACCAGGCTGATGGAGAGGTTCTTCAGCTCCTCCTCGGAGCCGGCGGTTTTGTAGCCGAGCTGCGCCAGCACCTGGTGGCAGGCGTGCTGGGTGAACGCCACGATCTCGTAGGACAGCCGGAACCGCCACTTCTCCGCCGTCGCCGCCGAGTTGCGCACCGTCCCATACTTGTGTTTGGAGGAGGACCTGTCTCCTCGGGTGTTGTTCTGTATCCAGTGCTCGACGTTGCTGTCCATGGGGATGCCCAGGAAATCGTAGATCTCCTCGGTCTTTTTCATGGGGTTCCTGGCCAGGTCTTCGTACCGCACCAGCATGTACTTGCCTTTGAGCCACGGTGGCCGGTTGAGGCCGGTGGACACGGAGTTCCAGAAGTCCTCACACACCGTGGTGAGCTGGGTCACGTCCAGGTTGTACGGCTTCCTGCCAGTGCCGTCCCAGATCCTCCACAGCCGGTAGGTATCCCGGAAGGTCTCGCTCCGGGACGCCAGGATCCCCCGGGGGTCCCTCACCAGCTGGATGACCTTCAAGTTCAGCCGCGGGTCCTCTACCAGGGCCCGGAGGTCGCTGACCTCAGGCACCCGCACGGTTTTGATGGCCACGTGCCCGTGCTCTCTGCAGGACTCGGTGGCCAGCGTCAGGTTCAAGGTCCCGCACTTCTTCACGCAGTCTCCCTCCTCCAGATGGAGATTGACGGCTCCCAGGGGCTCACAGACGGGCGGTGAGCACAGGGCCTTGCTGGCTCCCCTGCGGAAGAGGCGGTCAGTGGTGTGGTTGACAGGCTGGGGTTTGATGTAGTTCTCCAAGAAGTAGAGGTCGCAGTCATACAGGCTCCTCAGCAGGTCTCGGCTGGCCCCCAGCATGACCCGCCTGTCCGTCGTGCTCTTGCTCTGGGTCAGCTTTGGGATCAGGGTGTACTGGACGTGGTAGAGGGGCTCAAATAAATAGAAGACATCGAAGTGCTGGTTAAACAGCTGCCCGACAAACGAGGAGCCGCTGCGGGTGGTGGCGAGGATGAGGACGTGCGTCTTCCTGGAGAGGTTGTACGAGAACGTGGGGCTCTCATCGCACAGCCGGTCGGCCGCATCGGGGTCCTGGCTCAGGCTGCAGTTCACGGGGTTGGGGATGGGGCAGCTGTGGAAGGACTTGGCGGTGAAGGTCCGGATTGCTGTGTACTGGATCGCAATGGATGCCAAGGCTAGTAGGAGGACAGCCTTCCAGGAACATTGCATGGCTGGTCACCTTCATGGAGCTTCTTCACAGGTCGTCTCGGTGTCTGCAACACAACAGAGGAGTGACAGGTTGAGCAAGGGCCGCCAAGGAAGACCCAAATATCCTACAGCTGAGGGTACCATCAAACGCCCTCGCAATGCACATACGTTAGCCATACCCACGTGGACCCCAGTCACGCGCTGCAGAGCCCCGTTTTGGAGGAGAGGAAGATCAGGCGGAGGGTGGCAAGCCTGGAGAGACACTCCCAGCCAGGACTTCAGCCCCAGGGGCTGCTTTGGGTGTGTACACAGGTCCTGTGCCCCGCAGCTCTCCCCGTGCCCTGCGGCCCAGGCAAGGGGATGTTAGAGCCTGGTGGCCACACTGTCTACGTGCCTCCGCCGAGCTGCTGCAAACCCTCTTCCCCGGCTGCCTTGTGAGTCACTTGTCACCTCCCTCATCAGCCAGCCCATGCCTTCGGCTCCCAGTGCAGGAGCCATGGCAGGGAAAAAGGTGCCACACGCTGCCTGGAGAGGCTCGTCTCCATCCTTTCCATCCAGATGGTGGGACAAGGCACAGCCCATCCAGGCCAACCACCTCCTGCTTGCGATGGCTCTCCTGGAGCTGCAAACCTCTTTGTTTAGAGGTCCACCAGCCAGGCCAGCTCAGTCGGACAGTCCCTGGGGAGGAGCAGCAGCCAGAGCCATGTCCTAGCTGGCAGCCTGCTGTGTCCCCAGCACTGAGCTCGTGGTGCTGGCCGGATCCTGCTCAGATCTGGGATCTGGGTTGCACGGGCCAACTTCAGTGGTGCTAAGCCCTGCCTTGCTGCTGCCCACAGGTGGGCGAGGGTAAGGGAAGCTGAGCAGGATGCTTGGATGGGTGGTGAGGTGAGGGACACCCCTGCCATGCCTGGGGAGCTGCCCCAGGGCTGGGAGGGGATGTAACCGTGGTGGTGCTTCAACATCTCTCCCCCACCCCGTTCGCTAACCAAATAACATTCACAGGCTGCCTTGCTGCTCTCCAAAGCACAGGGCTTTGCATCCACGTGCTATCGCTCCCCAGGGCTGGGAGCCAGGAGAGAGCAGACTCACCCCAGAAACCCCAAACAAGCCAAAACCCCTCTGCAGGGGAGATGGCTTTGAAGCTCCCCTGCGCCCACTTTCCATTACCCACCTTCTTTCCGTGTCCATCCCCCCTCGGTGTGGTACATTCACCTGTGCATGTGCCCTTGCAGTCATCTGCCTCCCCCTTCCTCAGGCAAACCAAGGGGACAGACCCAAATATCTTGTCTCCCCGCCCAGCAGATCCCTTCCTTCCCACAGCATCACTGCCACCAGTGCTTCCCTCTTCCCCACCCCTCTCGTGCTCTCTGTGTGTCCGCAGGCAGAGCACCGAGCTGGCCCCACGCTGGTGGCAAGCTCCTGGTCCCCTGCTCGGCCCCGGCACCCTGGCCACTGCGGGGAGGGGGGGGACGGGGGACTGTCAGACCCACTGCTCGGCCGAGGGAAGCCGGTGGGGCAGCGATGGATTTCAGCACGTGAGGCCTGTTCAAGCCCAGAGTGTGATGAAACCCCCGATGGGCTCGGGACACTGCGGTGCTCCCAGTGCACGTTCCTTGCAGAGCCCATGGCAGCTGGCGCGGTGCGTTGTTCCCATCTCCTCAACATGCCCCGCTGCCCAGAGAGACCCTGTCACCCAGCAAGTGACACCAGGAGAGCTGCTGCAGGTGGGTCAAAAACTTCTTTCCCCTTTTTTTTTTTTTTTTTTCGTTGGTTGGTTGGGGTTTTTTTGTATTATTATTTATTTACCAATTGCCCCAGCTGCTCGGTGCAAGCAGAAGGCTGCAGGAGCTGCCAGCTCCAAACACCTCTCTCTGGGAGCGGGGGTTTAGAGCAGGACCCCAGCTCAGAGCTCCTGCAGGCAACCCCCACCAGTCATCGCCGTGTCTGCGGGTCTAAAGCACTAAGAGCTGGGCTTTAGACTCGTAACGATGCTTTGAATAAGGGATGCTTTCTCCTGCCAGGGATGTGGCTGGGGGACCAAAGGTGCAGACGCTTGGCTACTGCTGCTTCTGGTTCGGGGTTGCCCATCCTGCAGAGGGGAGCCCTGGCCCCACCGTCCCCATGGAATATTCTATCCCTTGGATAAAGTGTTTTTCCAGGCCTGCTAAGTCAGAGCAGGACAGGGGGGTCCCTGCTGGCATCTCCTGGCCCAGGTGGCTGCCATCTGCTGCCTAGGTGGGAGCGGCAGTGAGAATGCTTTCCTGCTCTCTAGTGATGGCCAGCCACACTGCATCCTTCGCACACCACCTCAACTCCTACTCCTCGCTGCGCTGCCGGTGGATGCTGGAGCAGATGCGACTCGGATTGTCCCGGGATATGGCAGAAACCCACCGCCGGCTCCACCGCAAAAAGCAACCCGAGCCCAGGAGCCTCCTTGTTCCCAATTCCTGCCGGATCGCTGGCTGCGAGCCTTTCGGGTTCTCCACCCACCCAGACCCGCTCCCCCTTCGCAATGCACCAAAGCTGCGGAAAGGAAGATTCAACTCTTCACTCTTGGGGTGTTGATTCGCCTCTTTGGCAGAGCAGGCGTGGAACCAGCGTCCAGCTTCAGCCTTGGCTGCCCCTCATCACCCTTCGCATGTGCCCTACGCGCCTGCTGAGCCAACAGCCAGGGAGGGGCGGGTTTGGGGAGAAGGCTTCCCTCCCTGATGTCTCATTCTGTGGCCTTTAAAGCCAGACAGAGCATCCTCTCAGCCCCCGGCCGGCTCTCCCGCCTCCTCCCAGCGCTGCCTGTCCCCGAGGGGCTGTGGGAACCGCTCGGCCCAGCCCTGGGCTCGAGAGGCACCCGGGGGCTGCAGGCACGGCTGAGGATTGCTTCCACCCCTGCTCCCTCTCGCTCATCCACCGGACACAGCCAGGCTGGTGTGAAATACCTGCTGAGGAGGAGCCGCGCGTGGTTCCACGCGGCTCGGAGCGGGCTGGCTGAGCCGCAGGGGGATGTCTCCCACACACAGGGTAGCCGCTTGCTCTCCCGTCCCTGCCCTGAGGGACCTTCTTCTTAAATCAGCCTGTTCCTCTGCAGGCGCCGGTACTGGGGCCAGCAGCTGGAGCGAGGGCCATGCCCACGGCGGGCTGTAGGTGAGGGTCCTGCGTGAGGCACGTACCATTTTGGCTACTTGGCCCTAGACCCTGGGATGTTGTGACTGTGGGAGTCATCCGAAATGCTGGCCTCCCAGATGTTTCCATGCTATAAAGCGTTCCCAGCCGAAATCTCCCTCTGCTCTGTCTCCACCTCAGCTCCACCAAAGACGATGAGCAAACGCAGCCTGAGGGTGGGAGCCGAGTCCGGTTGGTCCCTCCAGGCAGTGAGCTGGGGTGGGGGTAAGTCACTCGTAACCTTCCAGCCCCCCGGCGCTGCTGGCACTGCAAGGGGCCCGTGAGAAGGCACGCGGGCTCTTTTTGCACTGTGCTGGGGTCACCGCTGCCCCTTCCCCGGCCCTAACCCCCCCTCTGCTCACAGACTGCGCCCCACCGCCTCGTCCGCCTCGCCGCCCGGCTGCCTGCGGTCGCATCAGGACCGGGCTGCCCACGAGGGATGCACGGCAACCAGCAACCCGGCTCCGAGCACTGCGGGAGGCCAGCCAGCGCCTGGCACGGGGACGGGAGCCCTGTCTGTGGGAAGAGGAAGGTGCTGAGCTTTTTCCTTCCCCCTGCCCCACTTCCCGCAGCCCGGAGGAAGGCAAAGGGTGGGCGCAGGCTGTGCAGCCTCTCCTCACCCCGCACACCTGCAAACGGCAGCGGGTTCATAATCACCTGCCTTCCTCCTCCTCCCCTGACTCCCCAGCGCCGCTCCAGGGAGGACAAGCAGGCAAGGAGCCAGCAAGACAGCCCAGGAGCGCCAAGGAGATCGGAGGCGATGAATTAAGCTGAATGGCATCCATGAGTCACCGGCACGGGGAGCAGCGAGCGCGGCCGGCCAGCCGCAGAGCAGCAGAGGCCCGGGAGGAGATGCTGAGCTGCGGGCTCCTGTTTTCGGGGACGGTCTTCCCAGGTTTGATGGGAATGACCTGCTTTTAGAGCCGCGGCGCCAGGGGCTGCGCTGGCAGCTGAGCTCAGGAGCTGCTGCTGGGCTCGGCGGGGGCTGCTGCGGGGCTCGGCGCGACTCGCACGTCTTCTCCCCTCCGAAAGCAGCCAGATGGCACTCAGGGCAGTGCCCCACGGCACTCTCATCTCGTGGAGGGGTCCCACAAGCATCTCTGGGCGTGCTTCCTGCCCCAAGCCTTCCTTGCAGGTTGCCTTGCTGCTCCCCCGAGGTGGCCACATTTTGGCAACTCGGGGGGGACGGCAGCTTTAGGCAGGAGAGCTCGCAGTGACTGAGCCGGTCACTGCTGTTTCTCCCAGGGCCGTCAAAAAAAAACGCTGCTCTTCTCGGCTGCCTTCCAGGCTGTCCCCCCTCTCTCAACAGGTCCCCAGAAGTTGCGCCCTCGGCCCGGCTGGGCTCATCCTGAGCTCCCACGCCGCTGCCAGGGAAATCCCTTCGCGCTTCCCCGGGGGCGGGGAGGAAGGGAAAAGGGAGTGGAAGAAGGCGCGAGGGTCTGTGCAACGCGGGTGCCCGCTCCAGCCCTGGCACAAGCCCCGGTGATGCGCTGGAGAAGCTCCTGTCCGCCCCTGAGCCCTTCCCCGGGGCCTGCCCGGTGTCGGGCCGGCTACCGGCACCCTCTACCCACCAAAAGCGATTCCCGCCAGCAAGGCTGTTTCCATGGCAACGGCAGAGTGACTCAGGACTTTGGGACCAGCTAGAAAACACAACTGTGAGCAGCGAACGGCCGAGAGGTGCCGGGGTCTCGGCGCCAGGAGGACGGGTGGATGAGCGCAGGGACAGGGCAGGGCCGCCCGCCCGCCCGCTTGGGCTGGCGCAGAGGGGCACGCGGGCACCCCTCCACACCCCACCCCACGCGAGGCGAAGCCCACGCCAGGAGTCAGAAGGCAAAGCCCCCCTCTCCCGACACAAGCGCAGCTGCAGCACCCGGGAGGCACCGCTGCAGCACGCTCGCCGGGGGGGACGCAGCCCAAGGCATGCCTCGTCGCCTCCCCCGCCCCAGCCAGGAGGGAGACCCACGCGTGCAGAGTGACCCACGGGGTTTGCAGGACCCGCTTCGGCGGCCGCTCAGCCCCGCACCCCCGCCCCAGGACAGAGCAGCTTGCTGGAGGGCTGGTTGGGGAGCGGGGAGCTGCACCCAGGGGCCTCACACCCCCCCCCCCCCCACCTCACCTCACCGCCCCAGCGTGGGAATTAAGTCGCAGGGTTGCAAAAAAACTCCTGGCTGGGGGACCCACTGGCACGGGCCCTGCCCGGCGTCCTCCCACCGAGCAAAGAGTTGATCTTGTAAAACAACATGTTGCGGCCGCTGAGGCGGGGAAGATGGGCTCCTGACGGGGCTCAGCGACAAGCACCCCACTCGGTCGCAGCGGCTTAGTCATGCCGGGGGCTCTGCGAAGCCAGGCACTGAGCCCACCCTCCCGGGCGCTCCCCAGGGGAAAGGGGGGACCCCCGGAGAAAAGCAGCACCAAGCAGCCTCCCCCCCCCCCCCCCCTTTCCCCTCGCCACAGGCGCTACCTGATTTTGGGTACCGCAACAGATGCGTGAGCAGGGCTGGTCTCTGTCCCCGAGCCTTGTCCCCTCAGCAAGGCCCACCAACACGAAATCCTGATGGGGTGGGAGTGAGCCTTCAGCCTCGCCTCCTCTTCAGCTGTACAGCACTACGGTCACAGCTTCCAGTGCCAGCTGGGGACTCACGCCCGGCCCCAGCCCCGGCCCCGGGCGAGCACCGTGCCACACGCCGAGCGAAGGTGCTTCGTACCCATGAGACCCGGACTTGCGCTGCTCTCCCGTGCATCGCCTCCCGAGGCACTTTTCTCACGATGAGGCGCAGGACCCCGGTGCTCAAAGCCACTCCTGGCGTGCCCCCCACTCCTCCACCTCTACCCATCCCCTCTGCATTTCAGAGGGACCGAGAGATCCTTCAGCATCAGATTCCTGCCTACTTTGACCAGCACTTAAATCACCACAGAGCTTTCAACAGCAATTTTGTTTTTTTTCCCTACCGGCACTCAGCGTACACATTTTGAGTTGAATAATCACCATCAAGTCATGCCAACCCCAGCCGGTCCCACAGTTTTCTTATCGCAACATCCACCAGTGCCTGTTTATTTGCTGAACTGCATCTGTCTCCTCCCGAGGACGCGAACGCCTGGGTAAACCCGGCACAATTTTTTTTGTACTCTCCACCTTCCCATGAGCCATCCACCAGGCTGTTTGTGCATGCTGGCTCCCTCCATCCCGGAGCGCTCCCCTGGCAGGAGCTGGGTGGCTCTTTTGGGATGAAGGCGCTCATTCACCACCTCGAAACCCTCTCTTTGCAACCTACCCAGCCCACGGCCGTGGCGGGAGCCCGAACCTTGAACCTCACAGCTTTCCTGGAGGGCTGCTCCATGCCATGGTGTGCTTCAACCCCGCTCGGCGAGGTCTTCTCGCCAGCCTGCGTCCTCACGGCAGGTTTATCAGACCACTTTAAGGTCTGACAGCAAATGCTGGGGGGGGGCGGGGGGGTGAGGGGGGTGGATATTTGTTCCACTAGCTGGGGCGGCTCGAACGACCGGGCAGGGCATCTGGCCTCCCCTGGGCTACCGGGCGACTTACTCACTCGTCCCAAGCGGCAGCTCCTCACCCAACAACAGCCCCAAGTTTCGCCGCAGCTCGTTTCCCTTGCGGGGCTCGGGGGCTGCCACCTCCCCCCCACCCCCGCCTAAAGCAGCCCCCGGGAGGCGGCCGGCAGCCCGGGACGGGGTCCCACCGCAACCGGCGCTGGGGACCAGCGGGGAAAAGTCCCTCCCGCCGCTGGGGGTGATGCCCTGGAAAGTTGGGGGCGCGGAAAGGGTTACGGGAGACACCCCTCCACCACCACCACCCCCCCCCCCCCCCCGGTTTCGGGTAATCCCACCGAGTCGAGCCGCTCCCACGTCCCCCCCCCCAGTTTCCCCAGCGCCCCTTACCTGGCGGAGCGCGGCGGCGGCGGGGTCCCCCCCCGCATCCCCCGGCGGGCCCCGCCGCGGCTCCTGGGGCGGGGGGTCGCCGAGCCCGGCCCGGCCCGGCCCGGCCCCGGGGGCGGCTGGCGGCGGAGCTCAGCGGGCCGCACCGCGGGGGCTCATCCCTCCTGCCGCCAGCCTGCCCTGCCCTGCCCTGCCCACGCGTGGCCGCCTCTCCACGCCCCTCCGCGGGGAGGGAGGGAGGGCGGGCAGGGGAAGGGGGCTGCACCCGCTCTCCCCTCCCTCCTCTCCCCCCCCCCCCCCCCACCCTCCCCCCCGCTCCGGAGCGCCCGGCTGCGCGCAGCGGCGCAGAGCCGCGCAGAGCCGCGCACACCGCGCAGAGCCGCGCAGAGCCGCGCACACCGCGCACACCGCGCAGAGCCGCGCAGGCAGAGCAGCCTCCGCTCCGCTCCGCCCGCCCCGCTCCGCGCTCTGCCCGCCTCGCCCCAACCCGGCAGCTCGGCTCCCCGGCTTCACCGAGCAGGAAACTCTCCATTTCCTTTTTTTTTTTTTTTTTTTTTTTAATTTCTTTTGTGTTTTTTCTTTTTTTTTTTTTTTTTTAATTCCTCCCCAAGGCGGCCTGGCCAGAGCGGGGCAGAGCCCCACCCCTGTCACGACAGAGGCCCCGGTGGGGGCTTCCCCCCGGGAGACGCGTCCCAGCCCCACGCTGGGTGTTGGCAGAGGACGCGGGGGTCCCTGGGGACCGGGCCACCCCGCAGACAAGGGCTAGGTGCGGGGCAGAGAGGGGCCCCGTGGCTCCACGCCCCAGAACAAGCAGCCCCCCCTCACCCCAGATCCCTGCCAGTTTTGGTAGCGATGGCGGAGTGCATTTATTCACTCATTTTCCAGTGGCCTTTGCTCATTAAAAAAAAAAAAAAAAAATTGTCATGGGGACTAGTTCTCCAGCGCCGGGAATCCTCCCTGGGTGGCCAGGGCTCACGACCACGGGCAGGAACCAAATCTGTCCTCGGCAGTGCCACAATCCTGATGGGGTGAGGCGGGAAGGTGCCATCCTGACCCCCCTGGGAAGGTGGGGTGGGGCAGAGGCAAGGAAACACGGGAGAGTGTCAGGGCTGTTGGGGTGGCTGCGGTCTGACGGTCACGTTCCAGTTTCTGCTCCTGTTCGACCCCTTGAAACGAGTCGGACATTGACTGTTGGCAACTTTGACTGTTGCCCTTTTGTTCAGCGCTTGCCAGCCAAGCTGCAGTTTTTAGCACTTTAACTGCACCTCTGCTGAAATGGCAGCTGCCAGCGAGAGCCAGCTTACGAGATGCTACAATGGATATTCAATTTTTATATCCCTGTTTTACTTTGTGCATGTTTGGTGTTGCCTGGGCGTTATAAGAAATCACAGCCGTTTTCTTCTTGCGTTCATGTGAGCAACACCCAGATCCTGACAACCCCCCTGGGCTCTCCAAGGAGCTGCCTCCCCAGCTCAGGAATTTCCAAATTTTCACCTCTGAGTCTAAGTGTAAAGTGTAAGTTCGCAAAGTGTAGTTGCGGGGGTCACAGCATCAGCACGTTCAGCAGCAGCTGGGATCAACTTCTACAAGAAACAGCGGAGTCCGGGTCCCTGCGCTGCAACTGCGTCAAGAGAAAATTAAATCTCTGGGAGCACTGGTCTCGCCTCTGCTCCCGGAGGCCTGCCAGGCTGTGCCAGCGAGTCCAGGGCTGCAAGGGTGCCTTTAAATCCGGGGAAGCACAACAGCAGAGTAGTCAGTTTTGATGTTTGGCATGTTGGACTTGCATTTGCTGTTTTAGGATACGCAGATCTTGTGTGTCCAAAAATACTGGTATTTCTCAAGTCTTCTACAATATCCTGACAGCCCTAGCCCCCTTAGTGTAATTTTAGAAAACTTTGTAGGGATTTTGTATTTATAAACAGTTGGTGCTTAAATATTATTTCCCTCACCATAGCAACAGCTCCCCATCGTAGCATTCGCTATACGGTGCTGTTGCATTGGTGTATCCCTGTTTGGAGTGAGAAAGCCCTGAAGCCACTCTTTCTCGTGCCTGTTTTCCTACACCTTACGAAGGGCAAGGACTGAGGCTCCTGCCTGTCCTGACTCTCTTCTCGGAGCTGGGGAAGAGCCGTACCATCGGCTGCTGCTGGAAATGCGCCGGTGGCCCCGGGCTTTCCATCACCGGTGTTCCTCGGGTGATGCGCCTGCTCAGGCCATCCCCTTCCACGGACACGAGCTGCTGATTCATCTGCCCTGGCAGAGCCGACCTCGTTCCTAAGGACCCGTAGCACCTCCGCAATAGCCCTGAGGGCCACCCCTGCGTGGCACCCGCCCTTCGGCAGCTCGGGGTGCCGGTGAAGTGTCCCCGATGTCTGCTCGCCCTTGCTCGGCACCTCCGGCGAGCGGTGGGGAGGAGCGGGGAGCGGGCGTCCAGCTGGCCTGAGGCCACGGCCGTGCTCCCCTCCCACGGGGGGCCAAGGCACTGGAAGCACAGGAGTGGCAGGAATTCCAGGAGTTTGGCCAAGCGGGGCATAAACCGGGCCAGGGAGCGGTGCCAGGAGGAAATCAGGGGGCTCACGGTAAGAATACAAGAGCAGATGGGCACCCGCATGCTTCCCAGTCTTTCCAAAGAGTAAGGAGTTGCTCCTCTCTTCAACACCAGCCCAGAAAGAGTCTGGGCACTGAGACACCTCCGAAGTCCATCTGCAAAACTCCAGGAGCGATGCCGGAGCTGCTTGGACACGTACCTCCTGGTGCTGGGGGCTGTGTCCCCCCTCCTGTGGGACCAGGCGCGGGTGCCTGGAGAACTTCCAAAACCCAGCGAGGCGCATCAAGTGTCTATGCAACACCTGGGCTTAAAGTGGGGGGTGTTGAACCCAGGGCAGTAAATGTACCATGGCCGTAGAGGCTGTCTTGTACGAAGGAAAGAGATCTGAGAGAACGGTGCAAAAAATGAGGATTAGATGTGGGGTTGAAGAACAAACAGATGTTTCTGATAATTTCAGCTGACCATGATCACATTTTCTGATGCCCGCTGGTATTTTAAGTGTTAATCTAGAGAGATGCTGTTGGTTTGAAGGCTTACATATTAGAGCTCCGTATCTATGACTGATGAGTATTAAAATATTAAGTAGGCTCCGTGGTGTGTGTTTGTGGTCAGTTTGCCTTTCAGAGGGAGGGACTGCTGTGGCTGTACCTCGCCCTCATGAAGAAAATTTGTCTCTGTTTAAAAGGCATCATTTTTCCCCCACGTGGCTCCGGGCGGGAGAGCAGAGAGGCTGCTGGTGACTCGAAGAGTCAAAAGAGCTCACCTTTTAAAATTTTCATCTGATCTGAAATGCAGTTTGAAAGCATTCAATTTCCATGCTCTCCAGCAACAGATTTCAGCAAAGGCTTTGTATTTCCTCTTCTTGAGTTATGGTTCAAAAAATCTACCTTAACAACATAATCTGCTTGGGAATATATGTAATAAAATATCAATGTGGCTGTTAAGGTGATATGAAGGTTACTGTTCTAATCACTCAAAATGCAGTCAGGAGCAAAGTTATGATTCTCACAGTAATCTGGCCACGTTACATCCCCCCATACATCCTGTGAAATGCCGTTAACATAAAGAGCAACGTATTAAAGCACATAAATTTAAAGGCAGACGAATAGAACGTACTATCTGTGTGCTTAAAGCGCGGCGTTTTGAGAGCCTGTATCAGATCGTACCGTAGCATTTGTAAACCCACCTGCATGCTCCGTTCTTTTTCTGCCGGAGGAGCGGCGGCTCTCCCCGGGCTGCGGTGCCGCTGTGCCTCTCCAGCTGGCTCCCGGCGCGATGGAGGTGCCTTCCCCGCCTGGCCGAGCCTTGCCGTGCTGCAAGGAAGAGCTGCTCCAGGCCGAGATACTAAAAAAAAAAAAAAAAAAAAAATAAATAAAAATTTCTTTGCAGCTGTCCCTGCGGGCCGAGTAGGTGTGGAGGATCGCGAGGTACGTCGCGGGGAAGGAGCTGCTGCTGTACTGCTCGGCTATGGTAGGGGCACGGCAGCGGGACGGGAGCAGCAGGGGGGCTGTGCTGAAACGGGGGCTCCCTTTATAGGGTCGCGGGGGTGCAAGCCACCCCACGAGGGGTTTCTGAAATCTGCCGGAGCCCGACGGTGTGCGGGGCTGGAGGGGGTTACCGAAATCATTCCTAAACCCCGTAGGAGCGCCAGCCGAGATTTCTCAGAGTGATTTTCTTGATACCTTGATCTTAAGGGACAGAGTCTGAAGTATTTTGGGCACTTCCCTTTATTTTCCTGACTTTCAGAAAATGTCCTTTCTTGTTGGCCTTCACATAGAAGCTATAACAAAAGACTTTATACTTGACGTCCTTCTGTAGTTCAG